AGGAAAGCATAGACTTGATAGCAGAGGAAAGAACAATTCCCACAGGAAATTGAACACCAGTCACCCACCCTGTATCATCACTTTATTAGCTCATTTTCCTTAATTTTGAAAAAATAAAAGTAGGCTTGATATCACCATGCTGTGTCTGTGAATCCCTCTTATCAACTTTAAAATTCCTGAACCAATCTTTATTAAACTTGGTATGTACATCATGGCACCTGAGCCCACCTCAATGGCATACTTCATAAATCCCTCCCATCAGACTGTGTCTATAAGTGTATCTGCCTCACTGCTAGACAACAGCTTGGTAAAACATTACCATGGCAACGAATACACAAGCAACAGAAAAATTCTTGGATGCGTTGTTTTCTATGTGGTCTGTTTCATATCACAGGAAAGTAGGAGATTAATTATTCCCAGAATTTCTTGTTGAAATATAACAGCCCCAGGTTTTCCTTGATGCCAGTCAAGCAACGCATACATCATCAAAAGCTGTCTACAAAAGATTACTGACACACCATTTTAGAGTAAACACCATAAAGATGTACAAGAATGCAGACGAGAGCCACCTTTCCATATTCAGTTCATTTGTCTCTGTATGCATTCGTCACTGTTCTTGTACTGCAACTAACATACATATATATATATATATATTGTCACCTGTTGGGTGTATAACGTGACAAATAACTTCACGCCATTTTGGATATAGCGAATTTATTGCACATTTGCTCTTACACTTACACAATTTACAATTTCACAATTACTGCCATCAGCAGTATCACAAATACTCCGGCGAAAGATAGACAGCAACTAACTGGTTACTCTTTCTCTAGTAACTGGCTCAATACTCACTATTAACTACTACTAAATAGTGTTCACTGCTACTTATTAAACCTCGGTACAGACAACACAGAAAACAGTTACGTAATATGTACCACTGTTGCTTGACGCCGTGTTTACAGGTGTGGCTAGCAACGCTGTCGAGAGCTGTTTACTGCTGCGTAGCAACCGCGGTATCCCTTGGTAACAACATAGTCGCTCTTCTGCCATGTCGCCACGGGGGAGGGGCTGTTTACCGAGCGTTGCGTGGTAATGGAAGGGGTGGGGGTATGTGACATCACTTGCAGACCGCAGAGTTCACGTGACCCCTACTTCCCGTTGCGCCATCCACATCACACTGCTCCCTTCTAAAGGTTGTTCATCCCAAACAGCCTAACGGTACATCCCCGTTCCTTTATCTTCCCGTTCCTGTTTCTCCTGTTGTTTCGGCTACTCCTCTTGCAGCGACTACTCTCCATCCGTTAGAACCGCTCCCCTCTTAAGACCAGCTCGTCTCGAGCGGTTTCCTGCTAACTTGCCAGAAGATCCAGTTGTATCACATTTATCCTTCACTTTCTCTCTTGCTCATTCACTCTCTCTTGGGATGCCACTGTTTCTAATTTACCGGCTCCTCCTCCACTTGAAGTCTCTTTTTCCATTTTGGAGGGGTTCGTCCCCTCCACAAAGTCCAATCCACGATTCTCCGCGTCCTGCTGGAAGTCTTGGGCATTCGTTTAGTGTTTTTCGGACCGTAGGTCGCATATAAGATTGTCCTCAGTGTTCCTTCGCTTCCCAGAAGAGCTCGCTCTCCCGGGCGCCGTCCATGGTTGTCCTCTTCTTCCTCCCGTGTAGCGGCCCCTTGCCGCGTTGATCCTTTGTTCCTTTATGGTGCGTCCATAAATTCGTCTTGAGCGGCCCTATTCTCTGGGTTGCTCGCTGAATAGTGGCCCTGGTGCGGTTTCTCCCAACGACATTTTCCTTCTGCCGTTCCACTTTCTCACGGCGAGTCGTTCCCTTGCTGGCGAATCCCAATCTCTTGTAGGGTCCACAATTTCTCTGGGTGGTGTTCCTGAAGATGTTCCCCTTGAGCCATGCCACTTTCGTAAGGCGGAACACATTCCTGCAGGAGGCAGCCAACTTCATCCGGGATCCACAAATTCCTCGGGTTAGTTCCTTTGGCTCTCCACGTCGCCCCGCAGCTTGCTTCTTGCCCCTATACCGCTTCTTCCGTCCTTTGACCTTTTTCACTACGGCATCTTTGTTGGGGACTTCTCGTTGTTGGGCCAGCTCAGCTTTCCTGTCCACTGAGGTCGGCTCTTTCTCTTCTAGACGTGCCTCCATCTCTTGGCAGGCCATCGACTTTTCTGGTATCCGCTGTTTCTTCTTCAGGTTCTACGACCGGTATCTCTATGGGGACCTCTTCTTGTTGTGCTGCCGCAGGTTTCGTGTCCACTGAGGCTGGCTTTTCTTCTTCTTGATGTGCCACCATCTTTTCCAGTCCTCTTCGGTCGGCCTGTCTGTCATCCTCCCATCTGGCCAGCGATTCCTTGAAGCCGATCTCCGCCATTTCTTGATAGGAGTCTAATTTGTCCATTAAATCTTCTTTGTCAGTTCTCCTATTGGCCTCCAGTTTGTCTTGATGGGTTTTCGTGATGGCGTCCATTCTTGCCAGCATTTCCTCTTTGTCAGTCTCCATCTTCTTCAGCAGAAGTTCCAACATCTGCTGTGAATCCATGTTCTTTTCGCGTGTGTAAGTTCGTAACCAATTCTGACACCAAATTTTAAAGTGCTGGGCGTATAACTCGACAATATATACAGAGGTTATTGGTGAGGCAGACCACGACCAAGGTTACCTTTAGCCAGAGCACTCAACATTTCACTTTCTCCGGAGTACTTCGCCCATGCAAATGACCCTGAGAAGAACTTCAGCAACATGTCTTGAGCAATAACCTGGTGAGATCTGATGGCTCATTCTTTCCAGTCGACATTTACAATTCCTATTTCGTGCATCACGTGCTGGGATAGCGCTATCAGTACAGAGAGTGGCTACTGGCTAGATGGACAAGGGGACAAGTTTGAGTCTCGGTAGCAGCAAGAGTTTTTCTCTTCTCCAGGATGTCCAGACAGGCTCTGCGGCCCATCCAGCCTACTGCACAGTGGATACTGGAGCTGTTTCCACTGTGGGTGAAGTGGCAGGGGCATGAAGCTGACCACTCAGTACCATCTGGTGCAGTGGTTCTCAACCTTTGTGAGACTGTGGCCCCCATAAATATTTTTTTATAAGATGAGGGCCCACTACCTGGCCGCATCCTGGCAGTTGAGAAACACCGATTTTGTGCTAAGGCTGAGAATACTGGCCCTATACCTCAACTTCCCCATACACCTTAATTGTGTAGTGTTTAATTAATTAAACCCATGGATAAATTTATCTTAGTAACATGGTACTCACCACAAACTGAAGGAGGCTTACGCACAGGATGAATCAGTGAAGGAACTAGGGTCATCAGTGTAGGGTTTCTCTGATTCCTCATGAACTGTTCTTTTGGAGGATGAGGGAATTTGTATTTCCTTGTAATCAGCCTTCCTCTTTCTGGACCTTTTAAGAAATGAACAAATTGGATAGGTGTAAGGATACTGGGTAGTAGTAGATAAAATGATCTATAATTCATGGTACAATTATATTTCTTTTGTGGTGAATTATATAACGAAAATTCAATTTCTACAGCCATGCTGTTACAATGATTAAGCATATTCTTGTATACAAATGAATTATATTTTCCCAGAAATAAATCAAAGACAGCTTACTGAATCCCTAATTCAATGCACTATCAGAAGCAGAATACTAGCCAACTCTAGTGATGATGAACTCACATAGGCCTCACGAACTTCAAAAACAAATTATGAACCTACAAAGATGTGCTTTTCTTTAAGAGGAATGTGACCTAGAAATGAGAAACAACTACTAGATTACTACATCAACAAGTTTAAATTTCAAAATCACCCATAAAGTTCATAATTTCCACTCTTGATAAAAATGTCAGTTTAAGGGAATTATTTGGCAACAGATTCAGTATTCATATTTATATACCTTTGTGACGTCGGCTCCTGTCCGTGGTCTGTGTGCGCACTTCTCCCCTCTACTTTCCCTACTGTCCCCTTCTCTCCTTCCCCTTCTGAGCTNGGGTAACTTACGCTTCAAAAAAGTGGTAGCAGAGCGTGGTTTCGCTTCACCTTAATAGAAAATAAGTCTTCACCCTGGTAAGGTGAAGGCAAAGTTGTTCCTGGGTCAAATTAATTAAGCACGAAGCTATGACAACCTCAACACTAGATGGAAGTGAGTGGTCAGCTTCATGCTCTGGCTGCTTTACCCTGGGGAAAGAGCCTCTGGTACCCATTTGATAGGCAGAGTGGGCCCCAGAGAAAGTCTGGATGCTTGGGAGACGTCTCTTGCCCTCACTGAGAATTGAACCCTGACAGTCCAGCCCATTGCTATACTGACTCCCTTTAATGTTGGTGTTCATATCGAAATCCAGATTACAGTAATAATATATATCTGTCGAATCCCTGAGAACACTTGTAAGGCAGTAGATGCTCTACACATACCAAAATCCAGATTACAGTAATATATCAGTCAAATCCCTGAGATCACTTGTAAGACAGTATGTGCTCTACACATACTGAAATCCAGATTACAGTAATATATCAGTGGAATCCCTGAGAACGCTTGTAAGGCATGAGATACTCTACACTATGTATCCTACTTACCCCTTACATCAACTAAGCCATGGATTGGAGAGTCAAGGAATCAGGTCTCAATTCCCGGTATGGGCGTGAGATTTCTCTTCTCCAGTGTCCATATCAGCTCTGGGTCCCACCCAGCCTCCAATCCAGTGGGTACCATGGGCATTTCCCCTGGGAGAAAAGTGGTCAGAGCATGAAGCCAACTGTTCATCCCCATCTAATATTGGAGTTAAATATGCAGAGTTAGACCTCCACTCCCCCATACGCCTTCATGGTGTGGCACTTAAATAAGCACAGGGGACAACCATATGCTTTTACCTTCTACAGGCACCTTATATCTGAAAGATCTCAATGTACACTGCCAATTTCTCATATAACTTTACACATCTGCTGATGTTTTAGTTTTATGTAGATTAATGAAGTAACATTTTGTTGACCAGATGCAGACGAGGGAGATGAGGATGGTTTGGGAAGTCCAGTAATGAGGTACCGCCCTGATAACCTGGATGATATCACTGCTGCCACCAAGTTCTCCAAGGATGAAATACGATGGGTGTACCGAGCATTCAAGCAGGAGTGCCCCAGTGGAGCCATCAATGAACTCACTTTCAAAAATATCTATGCCAAATTCTTTCCACTTGGAGGTCAGTGCTTCAACACAGAGATACATGCCTGTAATACTGACTCAGTTGGTAATCCAACACAGCCATGGTCATCCAGTGATATCTGCTACGTGAAAGATTGTCCTGTGATAAGTCTGCCTGTTCTTTTTTATTATTTCGTTAAGAACTTCTCTTGTTCTTACTATGTAATTATTTCCATCCTCTTCTCCTTTGTTCCAAATACTACCCTACCAACAGCAAAACGTAAATCCTGCCCTATACATTCATATATCTGGAATGTGTATTCCTCTCAGAGTCCGGGGCGTGAGAACCGATGTTCTCAAGGCAGTGACTACAAAGAATACTGTCTTCAGGGGTATGGCATCATTAGACTGAAAAATGTTTCTGAGATGCTGGTGGAACACGCTACTTTCGAAGTTTATTTAATGATGCTGTCAGTAACTCAGACTACACAGTGCTGGAAAGGACACAAAAGAAAGTGACAGAGGCTCAGTTTAAGACACCACCCTGGAATCTGACTGAGCAGCTGAGGAAGATTATGAGATGAAAATCAGTGCCCCAGCTCCAAAATACTGTCACAAGTGCTGTCACTCAACTCGGAGAAGGAAGGTGCTGGTTCCATCTGCTGGGTAGAAGAGTCACTCCCCTACCCTGAACATGGAGATAGAATGAAGAAAGCCATCTTCTGGGATGTGGCACCATGTAGATATTGTATTAACTGATGTTTTGGAGTAAAACATTGCCTCCATCTTCCGGGGTAGAAGAAAAAAGAAAACTCCGCAAGCAAGGAACTAGCGTGAGTAGGTGCTGACAGACTAATGTTGAGTTGAATAAACCGAGCTATATAAGAGCAGCAAGAGAAGGGACAGGGGCCACATGGGAAATGAGTAGAGAGGAGAGGGGAAGGGTCTGTGGAGATGGACCTGCAGGTATAGAATATTGTGTCGAGGGGAGAAAGGCAAGGTTAATTGGAGGGCATTAACCCAGAAGCTTCTGGGCTACGATGCGAGTTGGGCATGGACCTGCGTGGCCTTGTGGATCTGGCATCATGGAGGTGATACGTTCCTCCAGAACTTCAGTTAATACAATATCTACATGGCGCCACATCCCAGAAGACGGCTTTCTTTATAGTCACCACCATGAAAACCTCAAATATTACATAGAGGCAGAATGTTCCTCGAAAATATCACTAAACATCAAGCAGACAACATGGTGTCATATCCCAAACAGTATTCTTCAGGAGCCACAATAATCAAAGCCTATATCTGCAGATATAAGCTGTAATACTCCATATATTATATGATAATGTTCGCTTATGAAGTTGATTCTGTGTGCGATGTGTATTCAGCTTTTTGTTTCTAAGATATAATTATTTCCTGTTTACATGATGAAGATTCCAGTCACTATGCTCACTATGTCTTTGCTGCATTGGATCGGGGGCAGTCCGGGACAATCACATTCAGGGACTTCATGCTTGGACTCTCTATTGTAATGAAGGGAACCTTGCAAGAGAGACTACGATGGGCATTCTCGTGAGTTATGTCAATATAGAACATGTGATACAAATAAGCCAGGTATAACAAACTTCCAAGCTACAAATGGTTTACACCATTTAGAAACCTACCTTGCTTTCCAATGTATCACTAGTGTACAGCACTGTAAGTGACAAGGAACATAGAATGCTGTTTTTTAACACTTCAAGCCAAAACATACTCAGCACAAGATTAGATTAGATTAGATTAGATTAGAGGAGTGGGCTATACTGGCCCTTGCAATCAGTCTGATCTACTGTACATCCCCACTTTTAATTACCCTGCAGTAGTCTTGTGCACCAAATGAAATCTGGTACTTTGCTTAACAATGTTTAGTCAGTCATATGGCTTCTAGAAATGGGGTCCCAAGGGATGAAATCTCACACCACCTGGAACCTCACAGACACACAGGACAAGTGAGGCTGTTTCAGCTTTGTTATGGCACCTTTTGCAGGTGGGACTATTTCCTAGTCTCTGTTGGAAGAAGTGTCCTTTATAGTGACTGTTCTGTCAGTAATTACCTCGTTATATCTCAAATATTTCCCTATATTGTTTTGCACGGCATTCTTGAAGGAAATTTCCACCCATTTTTGTACTGGTATGCCCAGAATTTTTGGTCACTATTCATCCGGTTCCCGAAGGCATGCTTAGCACCTCTTCCTGAGATGACATATGCCAATTTAGATCCTATAAATGAATGTTCAGATAAAGCTCTTGCCAGATGTCTGGAAATATTCTTCCCCTCAATTCCCTGTGTCCTGTCACCCACATCAGTTGTGCCCTTTGTGTTCTGCGAGTTTTATTATGGACTGATGAGAGCCGAGGCTATTTTACAATTGATCTGATAATTGTCAAGTGTTTTGTTCACAGCTTGACTATTTCCTAGAATACATGTTCCCATTCTCACTGCTCATATCTAAGTTCTCTGTTGCACATGCCTTAATGGCTAGACTTCTGTCTGAATACTGTCATGAACTATCCACAGCCAAAGCCCAGTTTCTTCTCTGTGCCACATCCACACATCCAGTATCCCACAAACATGAAAATATGAAATAAAAATATCTTTCCAATAAACACGACGGCATGGAAATGAATTCCTTGATTCCATGGAACTGAAATCTCCACAAATCTATAATAATAAAGGGTCAAAAATATGGTTGTCTGGTTCCAGTCATTACCAAAAATATTGGGTTGAAACTAATTTCCCCACTCAGCATTCAGGATTTGACTTTTGGAGGTCTGGCAGTCTTACTCAGTCACTTTTGGCAAACACGAAATGGCAAACCTCAGACCCAAACAAGATGAGAACATAATAAGTTAAAACAATTAATCTCTCTTTCAAATTGAGTTTCCCCCATTATCTTATGCTTGACCTGCATGTGTTAGGACAAACAGTATACCACCAGGAAGAAATTAATCTTGCACACTGATTAGAGGCAAAAGTCACAGGTGCGAAATATACAGTCCTACCTCCTCTGGCAACCAAAATATTTATCTCGCTAGACCCCCTACAAAAAATTAATCAACCATCAACACATTCTGTATTTCCAATGAGATATCTTGAGTACTATTTCTATTCTTGTGTAGTTCAATGAGATATCTTGCAAGAACATAAGCAAAAACTTGTTCCTTAAACTCTGTATTAAAATGGCCCCATGGCTGTTAATTTTGGTCATATAAATTACCATGCATTTTCCTCTGCAGCCTGTATGACGTAAATCACGATGGGTACATTACGAGAGCAGAAATGCTTGCTGTTATTTCTGCCATATATGAGCTGCTGGGGGACAGCAGCAACATGGCTGATCACTGCCCACAGTCGCACGTCAATATGATATTTAAGGTACACATCTTCCTATTTCTGCATGAGATCTTATGTTTTCATGCATGTGAATCTTTAAAGACTGTGGTGTTCTGGGTTACGACACTGTAAAGTCTCACAGGTGGTTATCATGTTTCAGATGAATCCACTGCATCCATATTCAGGACAGTAAGTAGCACATTCCTCCGGAATGTTAGTATCCATCTGCGAGACTACATGGTATCATACTCCAGGCACAATCCAAATTTCTATATGCGCTTCTGAAATAATTATTCTATACAGTGAAGCACATTCATATCTGAATGCAACTCTCACTTCAGAAGCAAAAGTACTATAGTGCATCTACAACATCTTTCGGAGTATATGCACCGTACCATGAGCGAACAGTCTTATATGCAATGAGTCCTATATTTTCAGCGGTTCTCTAACTTCTGAAATACTGACTAGCCTGTATACCTAATTCCACAGACCAGTGATTGCACCTCCCTTCCTATACTAAGATTCTAGCATAAAAGCGAGTGACAATCAGACAACAAACTATAACTTGCAATACTGCAAGGTCTTCCAACTATACTTAACTGTCATGCTAAAATGCTGGCACTATATACTGCAACTAGTCTCCACCTCTTGCTCTGAATATATCTAGCTTATCTGCATGAAATCTGATGCTAGTGCCTTTAACTTTATTTTCAAACATAGTTCATCTTCATAACTTTCTAAATCTTATATTTAGCGCTCCATTTCAAGAGTTCATTTTGTGTTCTTCAACAGGAAAAAATAAGCAATGTTATGTACAAAGTGAAATAAAATTAAAATTTCAAATAATATATTTTAACAAGACTACAAACTCAAAATAATAAATACAGGTCTTAACTCCTGTACATCAACATACAACCATAAACACGCAGTATGATAATTTTATCAACCAAATTAAAGGAATGCATAAAATACATTAACACACGACAAATGTGAACTGGGACATAACGTGGCTCACTATACAGTTGTATTCCTCTTTGAATGAGGACCAACCAAGATTTAAAGAATCTGTTCAAATCTTGGTCATATCCTGATCGGAGTTTTAACGTTCTTCCCAGTCCTCCTTTGCATGTGCTTAGACAACATCTTAAAATGTCAAAATCCCTTCATTCCAAATCCATCTCAATTTTCCATTAATAATCCAACTCTGATTCAACATAACCACTACAGTTGATGCAACATCATTTAATTATAACAGTATCATAAAAATATACTTCTTTTTTCTGTTACAGAAACTGGATTTGAATAATGACGGTGTTATAACAGTTGATGAATTCATAAACTACTGTTCCATGGTAAGCAAGGTCATGAAATTTGATGCTTTTATGGTGGTGAAGACTGAGACTGTGGTTTTCTGAGTTATGACACCATGTAGTCTCATAGTTTTTTTATTTAGTTTATTTAACGATACTGTTACTATACTAATGGTAGGATGATAAGTGAACAAAAAACTGGAAAGGAAGCAGTCAGCCAAATTAAAGGTACAATTACAGAAGTTGCCTAGAGGGACTATGAAAAACCATAAAAATCCCTAGACAGTATCTAAACCAACATTCAACTGAACACATTAAATCTACAAGTCAGAAATTTATCTGCTTGAGCCCAACAGAGCTATAACCTGGTGGATTGGTACCAATGTTTCAGAGGAACAAAACAATTCCTCTTCCCACCTATGAGACTACAGCATCATAATTCAGGCCACAACATGTAAGCAACATTATACCAAGTGTCCCGAAGCTGTATTACCTATATATGACGTGCTGTAAATGCAAACACAGTCCAGGCAGGAAACGTCATAACCACAGCCTCCAGTTAATATACTGAAGTATGGAAGTTCATGCAATATTCTGATTTCTCATACCAGAATGAAGTAAAATGTAAAATTTCCCTGTGCTTAATTAAGCAACATGCCATTAAAATACAAGTGAATGAAGATACAGCTCCATCCGTACCCTCAGCACTAGATGGAGGTGAATAGACAGGATTGTCATACTGAACAATGTGCTACTCTGCTGGCAATCAATTCCTTAGCTGTCCAGTATATGACTGCCTATACATCAGAATAAATAGTAAGGAAATCAACAAGAAACACAGTACACACAGAGCTATATACTGTATTTTTATGTTAACCCTTTGCAGCTTTCTTTTCTGAGGACAGTACTAGGCCACTGAACTGCAACAAAGGTGGGACCCATGATTCTTGGAGATTGTTTACAGTCGGTACATGCATATTAGAATTCTCATTATTTTATGGTAAACTACTGTGACAGCCCCATAAACAAAGTCCTACATTTCATTTGAAGTGTAGGATTAATAAAGGATTAACCAAAAGGGGAAGCATGATAGATCATTGAAGGCTGGGGTGCAAGGGCTCAGAATATTATGGCCCACCCCTCATACATTCGTTTTATGGTAAACAAATTTTCTATAGAGTTTCTAAAAGCACTCAAGTTTTGATTTGTGCTGTCACCTAGGTAAGATATTCTTAACTACATTATCATTTTTTACTTGAAATCAAAGACATCTGCGTTGACACTGTGTACAGTGGTGCTTTCCAGCTATGAGGTATACCTGATATTAGGCCCTTTAAGGTGTTAATGGAACAACAGCGATTCAATGTAATAAGTGAGTCAGAATTCTGATAACTCCATTGTTATAACCATCACTTTACTCTGAAACACAGGCAAATTTCCCATTTATCATACCAATGTTTTGCCTCTTCTTATATTCACTCCATTAACACCACGAAGAAAGAATAAATCATACAGCACAATAATACAACATACGGTTGTTTTTCTTGGTCCTTGGAATTACTTCAGTCAGTAACATACTTCCACTGCAGTTAAAAATTCTTTTTATACGAGGTGTGNGGTAGCATAGGGTGAGGATGTGGGTTTTTGTGGTGATTTTCTCCCTTTCCACATTTCGCACCTGCGCCCTCCTGACAAGCCCGGTGAACAGTGAGCCCCTAGCCACGAAGCAACGATAGAGAAAGCTATTCAGACGTTTCCTTAGTCCTACCCCTGTGACTGCAAGAGAGAAGGTGACAGTGGGGATTACCCATCCACCCCTGTCGAAAGGACTAAGGGTATAATAGTGGTGGAAGCGGTGGGGATACCTTCACGCCCCACCTCCATGACATAACAAGGAGGATATAAAGGATTAATGTGATATGACTCTTTTGCAGGATGAAAATATTCGCAATTCATTTGCCATATTCGATGACCTATGGTAAAAGAACTTGTTGCACATTACAACAATCCAAGGTGAACACTTTCCATGCTTCGCAACTGAATTCATTGCAAAACAACAACTCCACGGAGCACCAACATGACTGATGTGCACACTTTGAAGATTAGTCAACAGTATGAAGCTACATTGCTTCCACGTACAAAAGTGTGTAGTGTTTGGAGGAATGCTCATATCTTACACCACTCACATCAAAGAAGACAGCAATAAAGAGAGGGCACATGGAAATGGAAAATGTTCTCTTGTAGCAATCAGTATTCAAAGGTATTCTGAAGTAGGGTTGCGTGAAGCGCATCCACTCTTTGCCATGCCGTTTGTGTTCACTGTATCCTGACAATGTCAGAACAATTAATTTAAATGCCCTTTATAAACTGTCTTAGAATATGAAGTGAAGTGATGATTAATTTTGTTACATTCTGTGTTAGGTTAAGTAACGATTCATTTTTAAGACCTTTTTCCTGGATTTCCTGAGTTACTTCAACCATAATGATTTATTTGTAGGATTCGTAAGCCATAGTTCCATGAGCAAGAGGGGCTGGCCTGTGGCAGAACCCACAGAGTTCAGAGATTATGTTCATGAGGTGGATATATGGAAATGAAGAAAAATGCAAATATATATGCCCATCATCCAACTTTCCTTCAACCTAAGCACGTACAGGAAACCCTCAATGTAACGGACTAAGAGCGGGGACAGGGTGTCCATTATTGCTGATGTCTACCATAATTGAGTGCAGGGGTATTCATGGAAGTACACCATACAATATACAGCCAATATGCCCAATAACAAAGAAACACACACTGTGATTATATAAAGCTTTTTGTATTGTTGTTCTTTTTTATTTTATAGTTTTCTAACTACAAAACCTTCTCAGCGTCTCAACATTTCTAAAAATTCACAACTGTACACATTTTGTCCATTATATCCAGGTCCATTTTAATGAGGGTTTACATATATGCAGCCACTGTGATTAACATGCCCATCAACATCATCATCCAATAATATTTCCACAAGAGTGAGTAATTTTATAACAGACTTCATTATGTCTTCTCTACCCTGCTACACAAGCATTCCTCTTGTATCTGATCCTACACTTTACTTACTCTCCTTCAGCGGCCTCCGTAGTCTAGGGGTAACGTTCCCACCTCGTGACTCAAGGTATGCGGGTTCAAACCCGGTGGAGGTCGTAGAATTTTTAAGGGTGGAAAAATTCAGGGAACAATTCCTCCGGGAGGGACTTAAGCCATGGGTCCCATGTCGTAGCTTTACGGCACGTAAAAGAACCTCATGTCCTAAGGGGACCACTGAGCCAGATGGGGGAAGCATCGAGATACCGCTGAGCCAGTAGAGGCTGAACTCACTGGCTGAGTTGGGACTGATGGCATGCACCAGTACTGGTAGGGAATAGAGACTGGTAGAATATCATAGGGGGATGCACAATGGACCAACAGTTGGTCTAAGTGCATGGGGAAACCCACCCTCTCCAATACAATACAATACTCTCCTTCACATACCTTCTCTCACTTGGTTTCCACACGCCCCCATAGGTTCCTGAAATGTGGGTTTACTTGGCATCTTCATTTCTGATGCACACGAAGGAATCTTACCTACTCCAGGCAAATGCCCAGAAAGTAAAACTCAGATCAGGTCGCGACCATTTCCATCCCTGAAACTATACAGTCTGAGATACTGATAGCATTCTTACATAACCTGAAACTATACAGTCTGAGATACAGATAGCATTCTTACCTAACCTGAAACTATACAGTCTGAGATACTGATAGCATTCTTACATAACCTGAAACTATACAGTCTGAGATACTGATAGCATTCTTACATAAATACGAGTAACAAACAAAAAAAAACAGACTGACCAAATTTTCCACACCTACAAATTCTACCTGGGGCACGTGATAGTGTAGTTGGTTGAGGCACTATGCTACAAGCCAGAAGGTCATGGGATCGAATCCTGATGAGGTGAATTTTTTCAATTCACCTAATCCCTCCAGCCACACTATGGCCCTGGGGTCGACTCAGCCTCTAACAGAAATGAGTACCAGGAATATTCTTGGAATATTCTTAGGGGTAAAGGGCGGCCAGCGTGTAAAGCTGACAACCTTTCCACCATTTATGAGCCAATTGTCTAGAAAATGTGGGAACCTCAACATCTCACAATCATCCTATGTGCCTCCACAGCCTGTTACAGGGATACCTTTACTTCTTACTTTACAAATTCTACCTGCAGTTTCACTTTATACATTAATTTTTACATTTAATAAAATTTCAGCGCCCAAATATGAAAAACTTTCAACTAATCTGAAGTCATATTTTCTCAGCAATGATTTTAATACTCAAACAGAAAAAGACACAATGGTATATATATTAGTACTGTCTCCATCATATTTTCACTGAAGTGAATGGCTAGCCTGCATCAATAACATGGGACAATGTCTAAGAAAGCAACAATACCAGACCTCATAAATAATGACATAATTTCATCCAGTCACATCACCCAAATGGTTCTGCGAACAATGGTCTCTAATCAAAGCATGCAATGAAAAAAAAACATGTTAAGATAAGCTATAGGGATAAATAAAGGTTACTATTTGAAAAGAGGAGTATCAGTCACTGAGATCAAGGGTAAGTAGCAGAGATATATAAACTGTGGCCTACACAGTATTATTTGAAGTCCTCATGGCAATGATTATGATGATTACTGTCTTCCGGGATGTGACACCGTGTAGTCTGGCAGATATCTACAGGCATTTTGGAGGAACCTGCTGCATCTATCTTAAGAATGCTAGTAGCCTTAAGATGGATATAGCATGATCCTACAGTGTGGGGGAATGTGCTAGCTCCGTGTTCAGGGTACTACTTCTGCATCTGTCCTGAAGACAGAGGCAGCACTTTCCTCTGAAACATCTGACTACACAAGGTCATATGCCAGATGACAGGAATATTTGTATGTCTGGCATTAAATGAAGTAAATATGCAACTCAAGTTCAATTCAGATTATCACCAAATCCAGATTATCCTTCCGTCATAGAATCCAGATTAGAAAGAATATACTGTAATTACAAAAAACAATGTGGATAAAGTCAGACAAATCCAACATCTCAGTGATGCAGGACTTTCAGGTTCTGCTGTCACCATGCTAGCTGGCACAGCAATATAACACATGGAAGTAACATGTGAAGAGTTAACTGACTTCCTTATAATTTACTGTGTTATTCAGCAAATTGTATACCTATAATATTCTGCAATAAGGCTCTGAAGACAGTCTGTTAAAATCTGTAATCCACTGTCAGCTGTCACAACATTTCATTTCAGAATACACACTAGGTATAAACCATTCATAACATTTTTGACTGCTGATTATTTATAAACTCCATAACCTATCATGATTGGAAGAAGGGTAAAACGCTTCCAAATGTTTGTTAAATGATAGCAAAATGTACACACTTAGTTGCTAATCATACAGATCTAATATGAAAAATAAAACAAAACACAGTGTTACGGACTGGGATATTCTAGGCAAAGCAGTGAGCTATGGTCTGTGCTAGCATGGAATATCCTGGGCACAGCAGTCCAGGGATTTGAGCTTCTCACAGCAGTTATTATCAGCGTTATTGTCTTTTGGCATGTGATGCCATGTACCTGGTAGGTCATCGCCAAGAGAAACTTTTACTCTTCTACTGAAAGATGGAAGCATCGGATTTCTCTGAAATGTTAGAGAAAATGCATTAATTAATATAACTTAAAATGCTAGTATATTTAAATAAATTTCACACCCAATCAAAAAAATTACACTTGAAACTTGAAAAATAAACATTAAGTACTGAACTGATGCACTTATTTTTGTACTTGTAGTGGCTGCTGTAACTGATTTAGGATGGAAATAGCATGTACTGACATGTCAACAAATAAAGCTGAACTTTAAGAAGCATACAGCAGTTTTAATCTAAAATATTTATATGTTTCATTCAATTTCAGAGTCTTCTCAGTACCCATACTCTACCTTGATCACCACACCAAGCAGATTCGTGGTGTGGTAATACTTCAGATATATATTTCAGAGGTACCTGGTTCAAGCTTCTGCTAGGTAACTATTATTATAGACTTTCTCATAGTTTTCATCAAGCAAGTTCACTCAAGCTATAAAGCTTCATCAACTAGCTTCACAGAAGTGCCCCTAGACAAATGCATATAGCATATCTAATCAGCCACGATCACTGCCTTTCACATCCTTTCCAATTTATTCACTTATCTTCTTCTTTTGGTGGAGAAACCAGAAGGAATGAGACCACTGGGAAGACCAAAACATAGGTGGGTGGACAATATTAAAATAGATCTTAGATAGGATGGGATGGTATGGATTGGATTGATCTGGCCCAGGATAGGGGCCAGTGGAGGGCTCTTGTAAACATGGTAATGAACCTTTGGGTTCTATAAAATGCTGAGAAATTCCTGAGCAGCTGCAGAATTGGCAATTCCTCAAGAATGGCTCAGCTCCATGAATAATTATAATCCTCTTCAAGACAGTAAAACAAGACAGCCCAAACAACTCCTCCATTTCCTTTCCTAACACAGCATGATCATTTCCCCACTTCACATGACACTACATTAATCTGTGCAGTTTAAAAAATACTGCTATGTAACCAAATGAACCTTTCAATAAATCAACCAAAGAGATAACAGAATACAGACTTCAGTGTTCAGTTGGAGCTGTGGTAACTCTTTTGGTATAGGAACTTGGCTACAGGCAAGACAACAAAGGGATCAGGATTCAATTCCCAGTGCAGGCAAGAGAATTTTTCCTTCTTCATAATGCTGACAGGCTTTTGGACAGACCCAGCCTCCTATAGAATAAGTACCAGGGGACTGCTTCTCTGGAGCTATACATCCACTCCCCCACACATCTTCATGGCATGATAATTAATTAAGACCAAGGATGTAACCAATGTTCAGTACCAATACTAAAATAAAAATGACATACCCTATGTACCCTACGTAGTATGGCCTGAGAGTCAACTTCAGTATCTCAGTGGAGTGTTAGGTCATCTGGGGTCAATGTTGTACAAACGTTTGATTTCAACCTTTAAAATTCTAAACTGCATTCGGGTGGGGCGTTTACAAATTTATTGCCAAACATTACATTATCACTAACTTACAATGCTAATTACAGCTGTTTCACATGGTCTCCCACAATCTCTATGCACATCCTGGACTTTCTTGAAAGAGAATGAACGGCTGTTTGAAGAGTCTCAGCACCTTCTTGTGAGCCCTCCCTGACAAACCCAGCAATATTAAAATGCTGATTAGGGAAATCTGTTAATAATAAATGCAGCAACATTTCCAGAAAACAGCTGGATTCCCTTAAATACAATTCTGAAACAATACAAAGTATACATGAAAAACAACAAAATAACGAGCAACACAGGGCTTACAAACACATAAGTCAACTGCCTCAGCTGGTAGTGCATGTATGAAAATAATCATTACCTTCATTATGCAATTCAATATATCATCATTGGCAAGATTAAAGTATTAATGAACAAACAACATGAGTGATATTGTTACATGTACACCCATTGCTAGGCAACAAGTTGGTAAATGAGTTTCCGAGAAGACAAACTCTTAGTAAAGTCAGTTGCTAGGTTACTCAACAATAGAGGAGGCTGTGTTTTCTATGTTATGTGTGCCAAGCAATAGTAGAACATCAGTGTTATGCAATCTGTTTCTAAACAACGGAACTGTAAACATGTCTGCAATAATGGGTGTTTTCGGTGGAGAGCGCTTATAAGAGAAGTAAATTAAGATACCCGTGTGGAGGCGGGGTCAATTACTTCCACTGTGACCCTGTGAGTCACAGGAGGTGACGAAAAGGGAAGCCTCAAATCTGAGACAGTAAAACATGGTTGCAAATCCCAAGGGACTCAGACCCGAGAAAGACTGCGCTGGCAAGTGTCAGCAGCATATACAAAAGACAGACCCATCCTCTCGTCAGAGAGGGTGACCCACAAAAACAAGACCATAGCTGTCAAACAGTAATAAAAATCTGGTCACAAGCCCCATATGGGGCTCAACACCAAGACTTACTGACTGACTGTCAGCCTCAATGTGACTTTGATACAAGTTCAGTAATCTGAGACAAAATATGGTCGCAAGTCCCAAGGGACTCGGACC